TCTCTATAGTGTGAACAGTTTATTGTACATACGTTTACCTTGTTCCAAATATATATTATTTGAAAACAAATAAAGTGTGTGCTGTTTATTCATCATTGAATTTATCGCTAACAAGTCAGATAAGCCCAACAACAACATTGTATATATTTATACTATTAAGAAATATAAGTAAAAGCCATTTATTTCAACAATTGGCAAAATTAAAACAGAACCAATGTACATATATTTTAAAATCTGACACGTATATTGAATATACAATAATGCACAATATCCTAGAACAGTTAACAATGTGTACGACTTGCAATACAACATAGTAAAAGATCAATAATACTAGAGATGTGATTGTGTTGAGATTTAAACAAAAATAAGCTTTAAAATAATTATTACTTACCATGAAATACATATACTAAAACTATAATATAACTCACATTTGTTCAATGAGTTCCTTCTCATCCAGAGCATTTGGAAGATCTCGTTTATTTCCAAGCACTAATACAGGAAGTCCAGCCAACTGATGTTTGTCCAGAAGATTATGTAGTTCATTTCGAGATGCCTCAATTTTGTCCTGATCAGCAGCATCAACCATATAACTATATATATATAAAAAAAGAGAGAACAAAGAAAAAATCTGTATGATAATTTATGAATATAGATGGAGAAACAAACTAATTGTATGATGACCATACAAGAGCCATATTTCTGAAGAGAAGTAAAGTGTGTAGCCTATAAAGCTGGGAAAAAACACCAACATTGTCAACTCATTTATTAATCAGAACACAGTTGATGAGTTAAGTGAACCATCCCATTCTTTCATAGATTCAAGTATATGGTTTTGGTTTTATATTTGAGCTTATTCTTTGGTTTCTTTTCACACACTCTGTTGATCTGATCATGAAGCATACTATTAGGATCTTTTCTTATAGTTCTTTTCATATAACTTTATATTAGATAATGGGTAAGTGGATTCTATCTGTTTCCTCACTGGCCCCCTTGAATCGCCTAATGAAAAGATTAAACTGAGCAGATCATGTTAAATTGAAAACAAAATAACTTCAAAAGTTTCTACTAAATCTAAGAAAAGTATTTTAAAAGATTCCAGCTAAACTTAAGCAAAATGTAATAAGAGGCTACTAAATATACTCTACCAAAATGAATGCCAGTTAATCCAAAAAAAAAATGAAATTTAAGTTCCTGCTAAATCAAACAACCATGTGACCAGAAGAGTTCCTACTAAGCCTTAAGGTTTGGCTAAAAATATCTAAAATGATGCCCAAGCACAATAACACTTTAAAAATTCCAGTAATCCCACAAACAATGCAACTTTACAATAAGATTCCTACTAAACTCAAGTGTAGTGTGGCTTTAAGGTGAAAAGAAAAAGACTATTTGAAGCATAATGAGTCAAGAAGCATAATGACTGCTTTTGATGTGAACTAAGCCTAAATTAAAACTATCTGAAAAAATACATTTAAATATGCAAAGTTAGACCCTTCAAGTTTTATATTTTCCAAAATGCAAAATACAGACCATAATAAAAGGTCAAACCTTATAACTACCTTTAGACTTTCAGTAATGTGTTTCTTTACACCTAGCAATGCTTACAATAAAAATTAATACTTACATCACTAATAAAATTGGGTCATATAAGCCTATAAACATTGATTAATAAAAATTGTCACAAAAATAATCCATTCTCTGAAGTTAGGGATTCTAATTATTAAAATTTTTTTTTCTTTACTCCAACTATCCAGGTAATCCAAATATTGCTATTTTGGTTGTTTGTTGTTAAGCAAAAAGCTACATAATGGGTTATCTGTGCTCTGGCCAACTTTAGTCTTGTACGTTTTTGTTATACCCACTGACATATTCTGTCACATAGACAAAAACAAGAGCAATGTTTGTTAGTAACACCAACAGAAAGGCCTCATCTAACACAGCGGTTAACATTTTCTTAAATCCAAAATGTATTTCCAATAATACTTACCTCCTCTCACACTACAGCTATTACTCGACTGCTAAGGTTTTCTTCCTTTGCCCATATAAGCACTGGTCCGATTTTTTCTCACTTGTTCCAGTCTTTTATACCCCACTTAATTGCCCTTGGCAATATTTTTATCTTGACCCTCTCTACCAACATCAATGTACCCTTCTATCCTGGTACTGTATATAAGCCCCTCACTCAGATAATGTTATAAATTTTTCGAGACTGACTCAATCTGCAGTCTCCAACACCAGCTTTTAGTGGAGAGAAAGGGTAGGAGAGGGTAAAGAGAGGTAATTATTATTGGAAATAAATTTTTGGTTTATGAAAATGTTAACTTCTAAAACATACCTTCGCTCACACTACAGCTAGAATCTCACACTGATAAGGTGGCGGGGCTGGTGAGGGCATTATCCAAACAGAAGGTGTCTGCATAGATCACTGGTGTGTCAATAGAAGATTAGCACACTAGTGGGGGAACTGCACTATATCCAGAAGAGGTATGCTCTTCACATAGAATTTACTTCATGTACTGTGGGTGGAATTATATACAATCTGTCATCACTATTGGCCAGGCCCCAACCAGATAGCTGAGGTTACACTACTACGGGTTGTAACTATAGGGCCATGGTCCCTATGTTGCCCATTGGTGGTTAGGGCCTTTGGACCGCAATATATATATATATATATACTTGAGAGTGGATCCCAACCTGCAGTCATAGAGTGGTATGTTCCAAGCCACTGGAATCACGACGAGAAAGTAAACAGCACCGATGTGGACAAACCTTCTCCTCACCCTGAAGAAGTCTGGAAGGCAACACCCCAAGCTCAGAATGACAGGATCCTGTATGCCGTACTCAGCCTTAGGAAACAGAACTCATCCAGTCTGGAATTATGAACACACATCATCACTCCCCAAATGAGTGGGCAAGGTAAATTCCATGTCTCTCTCCGGAATTATTGGGAAAATGTGGAACAAACTGTTCTCAACCAAGGACCCAGGATGGGACCACTCTGCATTCAGAATTGCAAGGAAACAATGGAACCACTTCCACAAACAATATACTGAACCAATATTGATCAAAAAGAAAATGCCTCTCCTACCAACATTTGGGAAAAAACATCCAGGGTCCCGGGTAGGAGAGCCCCCAACATAGCCCTCTTCTCCAAAGTGGAGGAAATTCACTCTGACACTCTAAACTGAAAACTGGGTGTGGTAAGGACTCCCTAGCTCCACTAGTAGAATCTGGGGGCAATGCACTTTGGGGAGCCATGAGGAACAGTACTCTGGAAACAGTGTAATAGGTTAACCAAGTTCCCTATATTTTTGAAAGCAAACTGACCCCAATTTATTTAATCCAATGATCAGCACAACTGAGCCACAGAATATGAATAATTCATCTGATACAAAGATATTCGTGCTATATAACCCATTAAATATAATTTTTATCAGTCATTTGCTTCAAATATTTTGCTACAACCTCCTTGCTCAGCTAACCCCTCATTCACAGTGCTGAGATGGTGAAATTGAAAGGACTCCAATATTCATCCAATTATTTAACTGTTTCAACACTATAAATTTCTTTCAGAGGTCCACCTAAGTTCGTCACAACAACTTGTGACATCAGGCAGACATGTGGACAACTTTGCTTTGTATATAAACACACACAACTAGTAGTACTTCTCAGTTGTATTGTGCGTACTTAATATAATGTATGACTACTCAAATGTGTAACTGGAAAAGAATAAAAATCATTAAATGGTAAAGTGACATACTCACAAATCAGCTGAAAAAACAGCAAATTTCAAAGAAATGCAACCTCCAAAATCCCTAGTAAAGTCTAAAATCTGTGCCTAATATTTAGTTAATCCTTTGATTGCAGCTGCTTTAAAAGTGTGCAGAATTTTTGCAATCCATACACTGTATACAGCACCCTCAATTCAATTGCCAGAGGCAGACTGTACCCAATATGGCAAATCAGCAATCAATGGGTTAAACATTTGCTCAAAAAAAATCTAATATCTTGAACCAAAACTGAATTGTTGAATTTCTTTAAGTCCTCAAAATTGAGGAAAGCAAAGACAGTTGTATGTTTCAAAATATTCTATTTATTACTATCATAGTTTTGCCAGTACGGGTAACATTAGGTTCCTCCTTATTCTTAATATGTACATTAAATATTATAACTATTTACAAACCTTTTCTTATTACTAGTGTATTATTATTAAGCCCTAACAAAACCATTTTTGAAAATTCAGATAGTTTCATTCACTTGCTTGAGCTTATTAGGAAATAACATTTTACTAGTACAGGTCCTTATTAAATCATGATGAAGATCTGTGATAGAAGTCCAAAATGTTATCATCAAAAAAGTTCAAGCTGTCATTGAATTTAATGAACCTTTTAAGCTGAATAAAATTACTTCAAATAAACTTTATACAAAACTAATAACATTTTTATTCCTGTACTTATTCATTTATTCAAACTTCATATTCTGCTCAATAAAAGATACTGCAGGTATATTAAGCTCCAGCAAAATCCTTGTAAATTCACTCAACCAGATTCATACTTTATTTTCTAATAAAAATCATTGTTTAAAGACTAATCTTCACATGTACTATCAAAATGAAGAACTTTTTTTTACTTCTGAGATTTGGTTTGTTCACTGAAAGTTCTTAAAATCATCCTCTCTAGGTATTTTTCTTTCCATCACTGTGATATACCCCCCACATGCACACACAAACAAACACAGAAAAAAATATATATATACACCAACCCTCAAACACATTCTCTGTCATCAATGTAATTTCATAAAATACTGACAATACTCTCTCATTTCATAATTTAGTAAGTACATAAATCATTTACTACTTACACAATAGCATTCACACCTCTGCAATAACGCTCCCACATGCTCCGGAACCGTGGTTGTCCTCCTATGTCCCAGATCTGAAAAACAAAACACAACAACAGAAAATATAAGTTCATAAAATAGACTGGAGTGTTTTATAATATACAGTTATTTTTATGTGCTTAATCTATAAAGTATGTAAGAGATAAAAAGAGCTGTAGTTTTTAACCTGCATGGCACTTATGCAAATGTGGGATAACTGGACAGGAAGGAAAGCAGCAAACCAGTAGTATTCACTATCACAAAGGCATTGTGTGATTCTATGAAATAAATAACAGTATTGATTGTTACTATTATAATATGCCAACAGCTAAAAACACAGAGCATGTTCAGCAGCATCGTATTCTAAGCCCCGATCCTTTGATCCACAGTCCAACATTCTAATCTTTGGGCCATACACGACCCCCCCCCCCAAAAAAAAAGAGGAGAAAAACAATTTATTACAAAATAAAATTGAATATTTTTATTATTTTTATAAGATTGCATTTTTAGTCTGCTAAAACCTGTATTCATGAGTTTTCCGACATAAGAAGGCAATGAATAACATGGATAAATCCACCCACAACTACTGTCTGATTTGCCAACAAGAATAACTGAGCTTGCGAATTAAAATCAGGCTTTTACTCCTGCAAGAGAATCAGATAAAGTGTTTAATCTCTACTTGATCCAATTAGCCTCTGAAGAGTTTACATAGATCTTTAAGAGATTTTTACCTAGGCTTCCACAGTCTATTCTAGGATCAATTCTCAAGATAGCACACAAGTAATTATCCTGGAAGAAAAAAAAAAGTAGAATGAAACAGCTGGTGGCCAAGGATTGTAGTTCTCTGTAGAACTTCACAAAGACAGCAAAGCAACAAGTCTACAACTACAAGGAATGTAAGGACCCTCCCCAGGCTTAGAAAAAGGGATGAAAATAGCTCAATGTAATAAATCTGGAATCTACTATGCCTGTGAAGTCCAGGTAAACATTACCATTAGGAAATCAAGAGAGGGAGAGGAAGAGAGATAGCGAAGCATTTCAAAATGGACATAATCCAAGTTTACTGATATATTGCCAGACCAATGTAAAGAAAGTTCAGGGTAAATAGATATAAACCCAGTGTTGGCTTTTCTAGTTGGGAGTTGCTTAAATCACAACATTCATTATAGAGGTCACAAATTGCAGTATTTGTTCACAAGGAGAAACATCCCTATATTGGTCATATTAACCCACAGAGTAAAAGTTTATTGCTTTCACAAAAGTCATCTTATCAGATTTTGACCACAAACAATACAAAATGTGCACTTTCTGACATGAAATATTAGTATTATAGCTGAGTGATTAGTGGAATATGATAATCTATTAATCATTTACATTCAACTAACAGATTATTCATATTTGAGACTTGAATAGTTGAAATAATCTAAAACAGTAACAGTCAGAAACACTAATTTACACTAACTTTGATTAATGGATTTTTTTCTTGACATTAATCAAACTAATCATGATTTTAATTAATCAATTATTTGACTTGACACTAATTAACTTAATTACCCAACACTGATGAAAGAGTTGTTTGTAGGATTGGTTGTCATCAAGCACAGAGCAGCACAATGTGCTACCTGTCCTGCATTCACCATGGACAGTGAAACCTACATATGTGAATGAAATGAACCCAACAGATGTAACATGAACCCTTGAGGCATCAGAAGGGAAGCAAGTCAGGGGAAGATAAGGGAAGAGGGATGTCCAGGATCATGTGGGATCAAATGAGTGACCCACAACAGCAGGAAGAGAAAAGATATATCTGCATTGAATGGCCAGAGACTACTGAAGGGGATACAAATGGGTACATCCAAGAGGAACAGGAGAAAAACAAGAGAGACTTCAAAAGAAACAAATTATCTCAAGCAAGAAATTAAGGAGACTTGTGAGCCATAGTATCAAAACTCCATGTCTCAAATAAGTAGACTGGGTCTGCTCTGCATACAAAGAGAAAAAGACCCCTAAAAAATGAGATAGAGGGTGGTGGTAGTTTTTGAGTACTTCCTTTTGAAATCATGGAAATTAAAACTTAGATAATACAAACATTTGAATTATCATTTTTTTTGCCATGTTTATAGGTAATAACTGATGATAAAGCTATTTAATTAAACTTTGAATGTAACCTGTAAAAGGCCATGACAAGCATACTTTGAGCAGTTGTACAGAAAAAATATAAATGTGAAACTTACTATATTTTGCTAGCATTTTACTGTGATCCTTTGTATAATTTAATATACCTTTAAATGGAGCTACATAATAAAATGAGCTAGACCTACTCCAAACAATTAGTTTGAAAAATACTTTTTAAACCAAAGGTGACCTTAATGGTACCCCTGCTGCCCAACAAAAGTACAATGTATCAACAAAGGTTTATTATAGTGTATGAAATAGTAATATATGATAAAAACATCAAGCAATTTCACTCTCTGGAAATTCAGAAAGGCTTTACTCTAACCATTTATAAAATATATAACAAAATTAATCTTCATTTGATTTTGATGTGTAATCCCTTACTCATCACCAATAGCCTAAAATAGTTTAGGTGTTTGGATAACCTGTGACATACTAACCACAATTAGTTATTCATTATTATTTAAGAAACTAAATGGATATATATTTATTTGTGAATTTTTTTCTCTTACCAAAATATGCATTCCAATGAAAAAAAGATTATGTAGAGACCAAATCTATTCTTTGATTTGCTACTTACCGAAAGTCTGGTTTTGGCAAAGAAAAGAAATTCACAAATAATATCTTCTATGAAATGTGAGGTTTTAAAATTGCAAAAATTACAAGTTTTAGAGTATTAACTTCATTCGCTGCATTAAAAAGTTACATTCGTATGGAGCAAGTGTTGAAAATTCTAGATGTAACTGATATTTTACTTTAAATGATTTTTTTAAGAATGAACGCAACTCAACTTCAAAAATAATACAATCATATCTTAAATCATACCTTGTATAAATTTCCCAACATAAAACATAAGCTGATTTCTTTAATCAATGATTTAGGCAGTGTATTTGTGATGAAACTACATGCAAATTGGTACCAGTTGCTCTATACAGCATAAAGCTACCGAAAGAATTCTAATAAAGAAGGTTGCAGTGACAGAAGACTTTTGAAATATTGCTTTGCTCTCTGTGTAAAGCAGTTAGCATCCATCTTCACCTTTGTTTCATAAGCTGATTTCATAGCCTACCAAACCAACTTGGATCTTACCTTAATGGTGACATTTCCTTTAGTCACTTTCCTCATGTTGAAGCCCACAGTGGGGATCATATCTTCACAAAATTGGCCAGACTGAAACATACAACACAAAATCTCAAGTGAATGTGATAATAAAGCCATAATTTGTATTGAAAAGCAGAACACAAGTACTTCCTTCCAAACAGTACACTATTATCTAAACCTTAGATATAAAAATGGCTGAGAATCTAAAAGTCTTAATAGTTACTTTTGTCAATAAAGATAATGGTTGAAAAAAAAAACTCCACATAGAAAATTTGGCAAAATAATCCTAAGAAATTATAAGTGAAAGTAAAGAATAATACATATCAACCACATTACATCTGCCATATCTAAAGCCAACCAGGCAGTTGCGTGCAGGGGGTGGGGGCTCCAGGCGTCCAACGCAAAGAGTCGAATCGATTAGTATAACCCTTTCCGCCCTTCCCCAAGGTCTTAGGTACAAGGCCCCGGGCATCATAGAACCTCTGCACGCCACTGCAACCAGGCCTTTCACCCAACAATACCAGGACTCATAAGACCTGCTAGAATATGACAGACTAGTGGTCTAGGTATAATTTATATCATCAACCTTCAGGAATGAATATTATGGTGTGAACTACAGAACAAACAGATAATATTTCCCCACCACTGCTGAATATTGTTTGTGCAAGTGCCAAGACTTTGAACTAAACTCCAACCCCTGAACCTAATAACATGTACTGCACCAGTCTATCATGCAACCAACATTAGACTATACCCTACCACCAAATATGAAGGCAAAACATCCTCCATGAGCATTACACCCTTCCTCCTCCCTTGAGCAGTTTGTATATATATAAAGTTCATTATCAACAAAACAAAAGAGGCATACCAGAAGGGGAGGTTAGTTCTGTGAAGAGGTATTTATGTGAAATAAATTTTCAGGTAAGAAAAATGTTTACTTCATAAAAACTACTCCCTCATAGAACAAATAGCCAGAATCTCATCTGGAAAAGATGGTAGAGGGAACAGTGTAGGGATATAAACTAAAAATATGAGCTCCTTTATAAGAACATAGTAACATAAACTCATGGAGTGTATCAAACCCTGAGGGGGGTGGGTGATCATGGGACTTTATAAGAACATAAAGAGAAGCTCATGGAATGTTTCATCCCCTGAGGGGGGGTGATCATGGGAGCTCCTTTATAAGAACATAGTAACATAAACAGAAACTCATGGAGTGTATCAACCCCTGAGGGGAGGTGATCATGGGAGCTCCTTTATGAAAACATAGTAACATAAACAGAAACTCATGGAGTGTATCAACCCCTGCAAAACTCCTTGAATTGATGTAGAAATAATAATCTGAACATCTTTTTTATTATATACATTACATAAACGTCAAAAATTAATAATGTATTGGTTCTAAAATATTTAGGAGTGTAAAAATAGAGTTAAAATTAACATATAAAATTGATTAAACACTTGCAGCAAAAAAAAAAGAAGCTTTTGGAGAAAAATTATGAAAAGCCACAAGAAACGCCATCTTCAGGTACAATAATTTAGGATTAAGTTACTTGGTTAATCCTAAACTGATGTACATGAAAATGTATCATATATGCATAGTAGTATAAAACCTATAACAAACTGAAAATAGGACTAATAGCATTTCTCACAAATAAAACAATTTTAAAAAATATCACTGATTCTGGCTAAAGACCCACATCAGGTGTCAGTTCATTAAGTTTTTCATGGTTGGAAATAAAATTAATTTTTGGAATAACTTCACTCCGATGTTAGCTATTGTATTATTTGTAACCAATAGAAAGCAAAGATTTTGCTTAACTGACAGCTACAGAGTCTTAAGGGTTTGATCTAAATAGATTTGAACATGTTGGTATCTTTTTTTTGTATTCTGCAGTTGGGCCACACATGATAATTATTTTATGTTAGAAATCCTGATAAATTATGCAAGTTTTAAAACAATTTATTTTATATGTATGGAACTATTTTAAAAATAGGGCAATTGAATAAAAAAAAAATTCTCAAACCACATTACTGTAACATTGAATTAGGGTTATAATCTGATGTTAACTTAGATTGTACAAGTGCAGTCTTCAAGAAAACATGATTTCACAAGCACAATTTTTTTACTTTTTAACTATTGTTATAAAATTAACTAATGTAAAAAATTAGAAACATATCATACGTACTTTTAAAACAAATAAACAAAATACTTGTGATAAATGATAGTATGTGACAAGCTCAAGCCTGTTTGTGTAATTTGGCATGAGCATGCTGGTAACTCAATCTGTAGTTCACACAAAACTGTCTGGTGTAATAAATAGCTAGCACCATATTCTGAAAGGGTCAAAGTTTGACTGTAAATAAAAAAACTAATTGAAAAAATCTATTAGCTTAGGCTGTAAAAGTAAATATTGTGTAATTGTCTGTAACAATGTTCACATATTTTAGAATGAAAAAAAAGTAATTTTGATTTATTTTGTATTTTTTGGGGTGATTACAAGGTTGGCCAAATTGAACAAGTCTGTAGGGAGTAAGGGTAGAGAAAATAACATATAAAATATAGTTTTACTTTAAAAAAAAATGTATGATATTCAGTTAAGAGGTTTTAGAGGTTAGGTAAATAAAATTTGAAAACTGTAAGATGAAAAAAGTATGTTTAATCTTAACATGAAAATCACCCTGCAACCAGACTAATCAACACTCTGACTCCAAATCTTTAATAAAAATACTTAATTGAAAAATCTAATTCTATGTGTACAAAATATTTGTAATGTTTACTAAAATTGTGCCAAATTTCATGAATATACATTAAGTACTTTCAGAGTTATAATAATTATGCCTTCATGGTTCCATGGTGGTTACAAGGTTGTGTAGAATACATTTGCCTGTGTTCATAGGGTTAAATGTAAAGCTACACAATGGACATTGACACTCCATCTGCTACAGGTAAACTAACCCTGAACTTGAGCATTTAAGTCCAGAAACATACTGCTGACTCATTATGAAACTTATTTAAATTAATCAGATACTGGACAGGGACATTATGGAGTCTGAGAGCCTAAACAACCAACCTATACAAGATGACTCTGAAAAGAAAAGGGAGGTCACAAGTGTGATGCTTCTTTGGACAGGGAGAGAGATAGAAACATGTCAATAAAGTAGATGAAATCTAGGCCAAACAATTACATCCTCCACATGAATGCCCTCACGATCAGATTTAAAACACATGGTTGTAACCAATTCAAAGAAAATAGCCTGGAACTGAAAGATCTGATCATCATGGACACATAGGAAGTGATAGGTGGTTGAACAAACTGAAATATAAATAAATGCAACTGAAAACCGATGCATGGAGGAGGTTGTAACTTCTCTCCAGGTTATGAACACTGTGGACAAAGTTGAGTGATTGGTGAACTATTATTGTTCTTTCTCCAATTTCTTATCATCCTTCTGTTCAAGATAGATGGTTTTTCTCATTTTGAGATTGATGTTCTATCCAAGGATATAGGTAATTAAAGTCTGTGAAAGTCTATAAGAAAGCACCTATGTGACCCAAAGGTCTTCCACACAAAGTGAAAGAGCAGAGCTCCCACAGGACTGACAGTCAAGGGATGGCTCTAGAAACATATCATCTACGTGATCCATAATACCTAGCCATCCAAGAGGAAGAATGTTGGAAAGTATTGAGAAGAGCAAGAGAGGGATGACCCAATGAGGCTCGCAAGGACAAGATACATGTTGGGACTTCTTAGACAGAGCAAAGCAGAAAACTCAAAAGTCAGATGAGATTACTGGTGGCTAGCTGCCTCAGCTTAAGTTTTCAATATATAAAAACTCCCACAAAATCTTCATCATAAAAAAGCACTTCCAGAAAGAACACCATCCAAACCAAACAAATCTCAAAAATAAAAGAACCAAGTTAACTGGGACACTGTGAACAATTTTACAAGATTGAGGCCAAAGTGAAAAAATGGGTAGGTGTGAGCTTTTCCAGTGAAGCTGTAAGGATCACAATATAGTCTTCAAAACAAGATGAAGCATGGTTAGTCAGCAAATAAGCTGAGCAAGAGAAGGTTGAAGACAAGCAGATTTAGGCCAAAAGAGAGAGAGACAAAGAATGAGGAGAAGATCCTTAAGATGGAAAAAGATTCAAGGGACTGAAACTCAAGGAATGAAGAATCACAACCATATGCCATAGGATAAGATTCTCAAGGTCTAGGAGGACAAGGCAGTTGGAATTCAATCAAGTTAAAATGCATCCACATGAACATGAGTAACATGGGAAAGGAGGCAAAAGAAAATAATCGGAAGAAGCTCTTGCAACAAGGTAACCCAAGATTCAGCAAAAACAATTGGAGAAAGAGAAAAAAATCACACAGTTGTGCAAACAAAGTAGTAAATGATAAAGAAGGGGGTTACTTATTCCTCATCAGGTAAAACAAATTCAAAAGTAGGTGGGAACAACAGCTTAAAATCATTGAAAGACAAGGAAAGCTCATCTGAAGCAGCAGGAGGTCAGATATTATGGATATGAGATTATATCAACCATAATCGTAAAGCAAAATGCTGTGCATCCAATTAATAATTTAAAGAGAAATAACAAATTTGGTGTTATAAGTGTTAGTATTTAAATGTATTTTATACACCAATATGCAATATAGAAATTAAAATTTAATTTAAGTAACGAAATAGTACCCTATTACTTATTATTAAATATGTTTTGCTGTAAACAAAAAGTTAAATGAATAAAATTAGCAAAAAAAACAAACAAAAAACATTTAACGAAAATGAGGATGGATATAATTTATACTTGGAATAAAATTTGGCACACATAGCTGCTAAATTCCATCCTACGGATAAAATTTGAACGGGGAAAAGAATCTAGATAGCATATCACAAAAACAATTGAATTTGAAACATAGCTTACCGCTATTACATTGACGAACGTTGTTTTACCCGAGTACTGCAATCCCACGAGAGTTAATTCCATTTCCTCCTTCCAAAATAGACTTCGAAACCAATCTAAAATTCTATTTATTAAAGCAAGCATTTTGTTACAATTTGTACCTTCGTTTTCACTTCAAAGAACTATACCATTCGTTAACCCTAACACAGACCTTTAAATGAATAAGGCTCTTACTCATAACTCACATGACTAAATTCTATAGCTTAGCAATAAACTGCACGTAAAGCTGATATAAAGAACAGGCGACGCCGCCTAGGAACAAAATTTAAATACCAGTTATTATGACTCAGTGTACACTAATACGTTAAAATCTTGAGAATATAACAAACTCTAATTAGCATCTATAGAACAAATTGAAAGCTAGAAATTATCAATGATATATAAAAATAAAGATAATGCATAACTCTTCAGAATTTCAAACTTTTCTTTTTTTTTCTTTTTTAATTGGAGCATGAAACTAAACGTAAAGCCTGATCAGCGAAATTTAGCTAAAAATTAATATTACAACCAGTATAGAAATGATCGTGAAAGGTTTGTGAAAGATGGATTTAAGCATTCAGATAATAATTTAGCATCATCCTGGCATAAGACTAAAAAGGACTGAAAATTTCAACTAATATTTATCGAATTTTCATACTTTCATCTTTACACTCTTTATTGAAAATGAAAGTAGCCTTCGATGAAAGTAAGGAAGTAATTTTTTTTTCTGCACATAAAAGTCAAAACAGTTATACTCTATTTCAATATTATATTTATATTAGATTTATTGTTAACTTGTAATACAGAAATGGTTGAGAAGGTGGAAATTGGGGAACATCTGGGTGCAAATGATCATTGCTCTATTAGATTCGATGTTTTGCTGCATATGGAAATACAGAATAGTGATATTTTAGTTACAAATTTCAAAAAAGCTAATTTTGAAAGGATGCATCAAGAATTATCTTTTGTGAATTGGCCAACTGAGTTATTTGGAGATACTGATCAAAAGTAGACATTTTTAAAAATAAAATTTTAAATATTCAAGATAAACATATTCCATATAGAAAGTTTGGTGGCTGTAAGTAAAAATCCAGATTGGTTCACAAAGGGTATAAGGGATAAAGTTAAGAAAAGCATCACAAAATTTAGAAATGTAAATTCTCTGGTATGATAGGAGATTTAGAATATTATAGAAGATCAAGATTGTTGTTCATACAGGAAATTCGGACATCAAAAAGGATGTATGAAAAACGGTTTGTTGAAGATGTAAAAATTAACAGTAAGATTTCTTTAAATACAACGTTGCTGTGTGGACTTCAGGGCTCTTAACAGTATAATTGAAAAGGACTCATACCTGCTGCCAAAAATTCTTGATACTCTTGATGCCTTAAGTGGAGCCAGGTGGTTTTCAACTCTG